AAATAAAAAATAAAAATAAAGCTCCCTTTTATTATTATAAAGCTAGATTTAATAAATAAAGTAATACTCTTTATTAAACTTGCTATTATTAATCTATACCTTAAGGTAGTATATAAAAGTATAAATCAATTATTAATTAGATTTTATTATAGAGTCCTTAGTTTAGGTCCAGATTCTAAAATAATATAATAAGGGTTCTAATTTTAAGCTATAAGACTAATAGGGGTAAAGAGCTATAATTAATACTTTATAAGACCTTAGTAGTACCTTATTCCTTATATTTATTATTATTAAGGTTATATTTATTTTAGGTATAGAAAACTAAATATCTTATTAGGGAATTACTATAATAATATCTTATTAAGCTTTATAATTTCTTTATTTATAAATATAAGGATATTTACTAATAAAGAAGTCTAAATTAGATATAGCCCTTACTAAGCTATTAGATAGGTATGTCTTTTTAATAAAATTATAGAGCCTTAAGATATCTTTACTGATTACTTACTAAAGTCTTAATTTTTTATAAAAGGTTTTATCTGTTATATATTCTTATAAAAGTAAATAATTTTTAAGTAAGGCCAAATATTTAAAATATAATATCTTTATAGGTACTATATAGTATAACTAGAAATATTAAAAATTAATTTTAAAAATATAAAGAGACTACTAAAGGTTTAAAGTTACTAAAAAGATTAAAGTATATATCTCTTAAGGTATGATTAATAATATTAAAGGTATAGTTAGTAATAAGTTATAAAGGTCTTATCCTAAATAAGTAGATTTATTTACTAGAAAAGCTTAGCTACCTAAGCCCTATATAAGATACTATAGGTAGAAGACTTATTAATTAGAATCTTAAGTTATTTATAAGCTATTTTATCCCTTAAGAGTAGTAAGCTATTATACCTATTATTAAGGTCTAATAAAGGAAAGTCTTTTTAGTTCTCTTAAGGCTATATAAAGGAACTATATAATAATAGGATTTTCCTATGGATATTAGAGAATCTACTTATAGGTAGTATATTAGTTATAGTCAAGTAATACTTCTTATATATAATTAATTCTACTAGGCTTAAAATAATTATAACCTAGTTCTTAAATAATATAAGGATTAGTATTTAGATCTTATTAAACCAAATTGTTAATAAATTAGGGAAGGTTAAAGTCTTTAAGATAGTAGTCTTTATCTTATAGGCTTTTATAAATAAGGTATAACTTATAATCTAGGTCTAGATATTCTAAGATAAAGGGATATTATAAACTATAGTCCTAAATCTCTTATAAGAGGTTATTATGAATATTACTATGGAATTAGTTCTATATAATATAGGTATTAATAAGACTATTATATATTATAATAAAAACTAATAGCTACTATAAATACTAGCTTATTTATATTTTATATACCTCTTTAAAGTATAGTTCCTACTCATTTTCTTAATTAATAATACCCTAGGTATAATAAGCCTCTTAAAATTATTATAGATAATACTAACTACTATTTAGAGATCTTTAAAACTAATAGGACTGAGAATAATTATAAAAAGGTATTAAAGGTAATATATTTAAAATAATATAATAGTATAAATATAACTAATCTAGTAAAAAAGTTTTTATTAAAAGATTTATTACCTCTTAGAGAGGCTATATAATTAACTTACTAAGCCTACTATAAGATAAAAAGAGGGATAATTTCTAGTTTTATATTCTATCTAAAATAAGTAAAAGTCTTAATAAAGATACTTAGGTATATTAAGATTTAAGGTATAGTATTTAAAGGTATTATCTGCCCTTTTAAGACTTAATTAGTACAGTAGCCTAATAATATTAAGTATAATCTCTTTAAGGCTTTATATATTATAGGCTTATAAAAAGCTAAAAATCTAGAATAATCTATATAAGTATTAATAAGCTTAGGAAGTCTTTTTTTAAGTCTAAACAAGTAGAGTAAGTTATTAAGAGCTTATCTTTTAGATTTAGATTAGGATAAATAGCTATATATTATAATATAAATATATTTTTAGTTTATTTAATACTTATAAATAGTTATTATATTTTTTATAAACACTTAAATTAATATATAATATTATAAATAATATAGTTTTTTTGTAATATTTAGGTACTTTAAGTATAATAATAATAATTATATAATTTAAGCAAGTTTTTTATATAACTTTTTTATATATTCTTTTAGTTTTATTATAAGATTTTTATAAAGACCTTTATAAATTATAAGTTTTACTATAATATTTTTTATAACTTTTTATTTATAAAAAAGGTTAACAATAAAATATAACAATATACTATTATAAGACCTTATATTTAATATTTTTATATTAAATTTAAAATAATTTACCTCTTTTATAAATATCTAAATAAATATAAATAAAAAAATGTCTAATAAAAAATAAGAAAATCTAATAACAATAATTATTTTTATAATTAATAATAAATTTATAATTAAGATATTATTTAAATAGTTGAAAAGATTATAGCTAGGAGGCTTTCTACCCTAGCTGAGTCATCTAGCCTACTATATCATGACCAAATAGGAGGTAGGCAAAGAAAATCAGCTATAGATGCAGTCTTATCACTAGTTCATGATATTCAGACTGCTAGGCATAGAAAGGAGATGACTACTACTTTATTTATTGATATTAAAGGGGCCTTTGACCATGTCTCTATAAATCAATTGCTAAAAGTATGTATTAGGCTAGGGCTTCCTTATAGCCTAATTAGTTGGATCTCATCATTTCTATCAGATAGAAAGATTCAACTAGCTTTTGACAATGAGACTGTCAGGAGGTCCCTATTCAAATTGGCATACCCAAGGGCTCTCCTATCTCCCCTATCCTTTTTCTCATCTATATTAGATACCTCTTTGAGACTAGTGAGGAAACAGATGAGAAAGAGAGAGCTCAACTAAATCAGGTCAGGTATCTAAGCTATATTGATAATATAGCCTTAGTAGCAAGCTCTAGAAGTCTAGAAGCTAATTGCAGGCTTCTAGAAAAAGCAGCCTCTAAGCTATTTGAGAAAGGGCTAGAAAGCTGTATTCAATTTGACGAAGAAAAAATACAGCTTATTCATTTTTATACTAAGGGATCCCTAGACCTAGATAATAGCTTATACCAAATTAGGCTAGGTGATTACCTAATTAAACCCCAAAAGCTCATAAAATGGTTAGGAGTGTACCTAGACCCTAAGCTGCTTTTTACTGAACATGTGATTAAAAAGGTTATAGAGGCTACTAATTATTATTATTATTCTTCCATTTTAGAGAGCGTTTTTCAGTCAGAGACTATGCACGCTCTGCCTACTACCTAGGCAGTAGGGCTTAGTAGCTAATATCTATATACAGGTGGGTTATGCTATAGACCAGTCAACAGTGGGAACCTTCTATGAGGGACAGAAATAGGAAATAAGAGATAGGCAGTAGTATAATATGAATAAAAAGTCAAGGAATAGTAGGTATAGGTTGATTTGATAAAGAAAGAGGGGAGAGTCATAGAATAGGGGTGGCTTAGTAAGCATGATTAGGTAATCCTTGTTTAGTTATTAGTTAGCCCCTAGGTGCCATCTCCTAGTAGCTATTTTTGATTCCTTTAGGAATTCAACTAGGCTTCCCTGGCCTTCTTTAGAAAACAG